GATTTTTCAAAGGGAAACCACTAGATATGGGTTCTAGGTCCTAAAACAAGTCCAAAGAACCTAAGATCTCCAATTTCTACTCTAGTTTTACTCAAAAACCATCAAAATCCGGTTTAAACCAAAAATAAGTTTTGAAATCCAAAAACTTGAGATTCAAGAGAGGTTCTTTCAGTTATCTTACCTCGTATCCTTCTCTTGACGTTGAAAACTTTTTTAAATCTTTACTTGGTTCAAGATCCGTTTGATTTGGGACAAAATGAGAGAGAGAGAGAGAGCACGGGAGAGTGAGAGTGAAGGAGAGAGAGTGCACGGGAAAGGAAAGAGAAAGGAAAGGAAAAAGGAAAAATACCTTGGAACTATTTAAACTCACACGTGTCAGAAACATTTATTAATTAAACTCAATTAATAATCCATATTAGGCACACTAATAATCTCAATTACCTTAATTAATCTTAATTAATTCTTCAAGGTGTTACATAACACTTATAAACCGATATTCATAAAGTATTTAATAATATATACACATAAATAATAAAATTTTTATTTTAGTAATTAAATAATAAAATTTATTTTATTAATTAAATAATAATATCCTTAATTACATCTTATATTTTCAAGACATCATTTCCACCAGTAACCTCAACGGCTTAAATCATATTCTACTTTTATACACATAAATAATAAAATTTTTATTTTAGTAATTAAATAATAAAATTTATTTTATTAATTAAATAATAATATCCTTAATTACATCTTATATTTTCAAGACATCATTTCCACCAGTAACCTCAACGGCTTAAATCATATTCTACTTTTCTAGTTTCTCTATGTAAGAAAAATTCCCTGCTTCATGTCAACAATACAATGATTTAAACCATAGAACCAATGAATTCTGTGCTCTAAAGAAACGTCTCAGTGATATACTTTAAGTAAAACCTGACTCTTTGGTGTAAATGGAAAGATAGCTACAACATTTTTGGTAATTGGCACTTGGATGAAATAGCTAAAAGTTTCCCTTTTTTTTCCCTTTCTGTTGCTAGTTTCTCGGAGCCCCTCAGATTTTTCAAAAACAAGTCTCTGTTATGAACTACTTTAAGGAAGTTCCTGATAAGTGCTGGGAGAGGGATGTTGATTTCACTCCAGCTTGTTGCATTGGGCAATCTTCTGCTCTCTGCTTGGAGATTCCAAACTGGCGCCAACTTCCAAACTTGCGCGATTGTTTCGTCTACTACAAAGAAGATGAAGGTCAATTCTCTCTACAGCAAGGTTCTCCTTTCTCTTCTAGTTCAGACCTTGTTCCCACAGTGGTTCCTTCTCAAGGAATCAACTTGCCATACAAAATCCTGTTCAAAGTAAATTCCTTGGTTCAGCATGGATGTCTTCCGGCTAAAGCACTTGATCTCAAGTTTTTCCGGTTAGTCGATCCGAGTAGAATTCAGCTTGAATACATAGAGTCTGCTCTTGAAAAACTGCATCACTTAAAAGATTGCTGCTACAATCCACTGAGATGGCTTAAGAAGCAATATATAAAGTACAACAGAAGTGGGCAGATTCCAAAACTGCGCACAATTACTTTAGATGACGGCTTGGTGTATGTACACCGTGTTCAGGTAACACCAACAAAAGTATACTTTTGTGGCCCTGAGATCAATCTCTCCAACCGCGTCTTGCGCAACTACCACGAGGATATCAACAATTTTCTTCGCGTTTCTTTTGTTGATGAGGACTTGGATAAGTTATCTTCAACGGATTTATCCGCACACGGAAGTTCTGAGAATGGAAAAAGGCGAACGAGACTCTATGACAGGATACTTTCTACTCTAAGAAATGGCATACTCATTGGCGACAAGAAGTTCGAGTTTCTTGCGTTTTCATCGAGTCAGTTGCGAGAGGGTTCAGCTTGGATGTTTGCTTCAAGAGACGGACTTACCGCAGCAGATATTAGGAAATGGATGGGTGATTTTCGTTGCATTAAAAATGTGGCAAAATATGCTGCCAGGCTAGGTCAATCTTTTGGCTCTTCCCACGAAACTTTTAGAGTTGGTAGGCATGAAGTTGAGTTAATTCCTGACATACAAGTTGAAAGAGATGGAAAAAATTATTGTTTCTCTGATGGAATTGGCAAAATATCCGAAGACTTTGCGAGAGAAGTGGCCAAAAAATGTGGTCTAAACAGGTTTACTCCATCAGCCTTTCAAATTCGCTATGGTGGCTATAAAGGTGTTGTGGCTGTTGATCCCACATCTTCAATGAAGCTGTCATTGAGAAAAAGCATGTGCAAGTACGAGTCAAAGAACAACAAGCTAGATGTTTTGGCATGGAGCAAGTACCAGCCATGCTTCTTGAACCGCCAATTGATCACTCTGCTGTCAACTCTTGGAGTCAGTGATCACGTTTTTGAAAAGAAGCAAAAGGAGACCGTGAATCGCCTGGAGTCCATCTTAACTGATTCTTTAAGAGCACAAGATGAACTGAAGATGATGTTCCCTGGAGAGATCACAAACACTCTAAAAGAGATGCTTATGTGTGGTTACGAGCCAAATGAGGAGCCATTTCTTGCAATGATGCTGCAAACATTGCGTGCATCGAAGCTGCTGGAATTGCGGACAAAAACAAGGATACATGTTCCCAACGGAAGAGCTATGATGGGATGCTTAGATGAAACTGGGACACTTGAATACGGTCAAGTGTTTGTGCAGTGTTCTCGTCCCCAACTCTTTGATAATTCCTCTTTAGTCTTCAACATCAGCAGTTCAAGCCCAGACACGTTTGTTGTTAAGGGAAAGACGGTTGTTGCTAAAAATCCTTGTCTACATCCAGGAGATGTGCGAGTCCTCAAGGCAATGGATGTGCCGGAGTTGCACCACATGGTGGATTGCGTCGTTTTTCCACAGAAGGGAAAGATGTAAACATGTCTTGTTTTGTACTCTATACATACAATGAGCATTCATGCATGGTATATCTGATCTTATGTCAAGTATGTCAAACTGAGTGTTTCTCTGTTCACTTTATTGATCTGCTTGACTGATTCTGCTTTTTAATTTGCTCAGGCCTCATACCGATGAATGTTCTGGGAGTGACTTGGATGGAGACACTTACTTCGTCTGTTGGGACCAAGAGCTCATTCCTCGTCGGCGAGCTGATGCCATGGACTATACGTCGGCAAAAACTATAGAAGTAGATCATGAGGTTACAATGGAGGTATTTCTCAGTTCAACAATAGCTTGACAAGCATATCTTAAACTGTTTTTTTTTTTCCTTTATTATAACTTAGAATAGATGACGTATTTTGATTGTATATGTGGAATGTTCTATTACGGTATTCTAATAGTTGAGATAATTATTGTTAAAACCTTCAGAACACTGGTTGCTTGTTCTCCAGGTCTAAAGTTTTTTAGTTGGCCTTGCAGTTGTGTCGCTGATATTTGCTTTCACATGTTCTAAGTCATAACTGCATGATTTTGCTTGTGGTACAGGAAATTATGGAGTACTTTGCAGACTATCTAGTTGACGATAACTTGGGAATTATTTCGAATGCGCATACTGTTTTTGCAGACAAAGAGCCGAAAAAGGCCAGGAGCAAAGAATGTATTGAGCTAGCAAAGCTATCCTCAATTGCCGTGGATTATCCAAAAACAGGTGTGGCCGCAATAATCCCAGGTCATCTGCGTGCAAAAGAGTACCCGGACTTCATGGAAAAGACTGACGGGTTTGGGGTTTGGGGTTTAGGGTTTGAGGGTTTACAGTTCACGGTTCAGGGTTCTGGGTTCTGGGTTAAGGGCGCAGGGCTCAGGGCTCAGGGCTCGGGGTTCGGGGTTCAGTGTTCGGTGTTCGCGGCAATGTCCTCAAAAAGTCGAGGTATTTTGACAAGAAAAGAGACTTGGAATCAACAAATTATGCAGTAAAGGCACTGATCAAAGAAGCTAGGACTTGGTTCAACAATCAGGGAGATGAAGCAGCGAATGGAGGTGATGATGCATACGCAAAGAAAGCGTCTGCTTGGTACCATGTTACTTATCATCCTCATTACTGGGGCCGCTACAATAAGGACATGGGCAGAGACCATTTCCTAAGCTTCGCTTGGAGTGTCTACGACAGACTTGTCATGATCAAGAGGGACAATGCAAGCATGAAAAGATCTTTGCGCATTTCATCATTGGTGAAAGAGTTCAACTCTGGACATTATTTTTCCAGTGAAGTTTGATGTCTTCAGTCTTTGAAAACCATTCTAATGAGCACCTCTGCTCTTGCTAAGTAAGTTTACAGTGCTAGTTTGAGATTGTAATATAGTTTGATGTGTGATTACTATACAGTATTTGTGCGTGCCGTAATGTATATGGAGCTGTAGGGTCTTTTGTTTTTTTGTTTTTTTTATTTCTTCATTGCGGATGCTCCTCTGGCTTATTTTTGTTGCACGGTGTGTATTTCTCCTTTGATGCATGCCATTTTGGATAATTTTTTCCTTTTTTCCTTTTGTCTTCTTTGATGGTTTTTACTTATTTTCTCCCTGTGATTTTGGCGGATGCTGTCCTGATTCATTTGGATCTTGGTGCAGGTTTTTTTGCATTTTCCTCTCTCATTCATTTGGGTTTGGATTGTTTTTTTCTTCTTTCCTTCTGCCTTCTTCGCCTGTTTTTATTTGTGTTTTTGGTGCAGGTTTTTTCGATTCATCTACATTTTGGTTGAGGCTTCTTCTATTTTCCTGGTTTGCCTTTATGTTCGTTTAATTGTTGGTTTTAGCTTCAACTTTGAGTTTTTTTACGCTTTTGGAGGACTGCATGTTTTGTGCTCTTTTCCTTTCTTCGTGATTTTTTTGCTTTTCCCACTGGTTTTGGTACTTATTTCCTTCTGTCGCTGCTGGTCTGTTTAAATTTTTCAATATTTATAGAAATTTGTTATAATTTTGTAGTTGTTGACAGGTACAATTTTTGAAAATTTTTTATGTGCTGCTTTATTTATCCCCTCGATTGATTCTTTTCTTCAAAAAGAAGCTTCTATGTAGATGGTTCCATGTTTTTTTTTTTTAAATTTATCTTGGTCTTCTTTTTTTCCTATTTATTTTTTTCATGATTCGTGTTGTGGACGGCACTGATTTGTCTTGCCATCTTGCTTAATTGTACTCATTTTGCTGCAGATGCATTAAATGAATCTTCAAAAAGAAGCTTCTATGCAGATGGTTTCATGTTTTTTTTTTTTTTTAAATTCATCTTGCTCTTCTTTTTTTCCTATTCTTTGAAAACCATTCTAATGAGCACCTCTGCTCTTGCTAAGTAAGTTTACAGTGCTAGTTTGAGATTGTAATATAGTTTGATGTGTGATTACTATACAGTATTTGTGCGTGCCGTAATGTATTATTAATAATTATTGAGTCTGTAAGTTTGGCTAAATAGTAAATGTAGTGTGGGAATAGTTGATTACATGAATTGTTAGTGGGGGATTGACTATGATCTTATCTTTACTTTGCATTTCAGAGAATTTCAGGATAACTAAAAATATTAAAATAACTTTTCTCACACCAATTGATTTAAGTTTATCGTTGATTAACTCAATGACTTTTCATTATCAATATCACTTAGTAAGTAACCAAAATTAATTAGTAATTAATCAATTTTAATCGACAAATTACATGTTTATTAGTGACAAATTATTAATAAATCAGTCAATCACTGATTAATTATCGATCAAGCAATGATTGACTACTGAAAAAAATGGTCATTTGGTTAAAATAAAAAAAAAGTTTGTCCATTTGTTTTTAAAAAATAAAAAGTTCGGCTTTTTATTAACAAAAAAAAAGTGGTCAAAATGAAACCATTTACTTGATTTTTCCTTTTTACTTGTAGTCAAACTTTTTTCTGAATGTAGCCCTCGTAAAGATAAATAAATATGGGGTCGTTTTTTTACAATAAAATTCAGAAAAAATTTAAATTCAAGTTATAATTTTATTTAAGTTCACGTTCTTTTAAATTTTAATTTTATTCAACTTTACTCAACTTTATTCAAGTTATAACTTCAACTTAAATTATAACTCAAATTTAATTCAAAAACTATACTCAAGTTACACTCTAAAAGAAGAACTCTGTATATTTTCTAACTGTCTCGCTAAAATAATTTCTTCTATGTGTACTTACGTAAACTTTTTTTTTTTTTTTTCAACCCTCTCATATAATTTTTCCCACATTATTATTATAAATATACATAGGAAACCCAAGGTTGCACTGTTCACACACTCACCGATCAGTATTCATTATACAGTGCACGTTTTTTCCCCGTTTTGCCCTTGCTTTCTCTTTTCTTTCTTCGTTTTTGTGTGGGGGCCTTTTTGTCTTTTCCTGCCCATGTGTTGTGACTTTGCGTTTTTTGCCTTTGTCTCTTTGTTTTTGTTTGTCGTTTGGTTTCTAGTGAAGCCCTAAGCCTCATTTCTTTTTTCTGTGTTTCTTCTTGCGTCGTTTCTTCCATTTTTTTCTCCGCTAAAAGTTTGCCCTCCATTTTTGGCTTCTTTGTTTCTCTCAGTCCTTAGTTGGTTTTGGTCCTTTGATAGTTTTTAGCGCAAGCTTCTTCTGCTTGCTTCTGCTCATTTTCCCCTATTTTGATTGGGGATTTTGTTTGGGTTTCTTCTGCGATTTCGACCGATTGTGTATTTTGTGTTATATGCTATTTCTTTTTCTTCCATCTTTTTCTTTTTTAATTGTTGTGGCATTTTTTGCTTTTGTTGATTTTTTCTTTTTGCTCTTCTGTTGTTTTAATTTGGGATTTTTCATGGCTCTCTTCTGTTTTTTTGCTGAATTCAATATTCCGGGTTTTATGCAAATTTTTTTTTTTTAAAAAGAGGCATTGTTCGGTATTTTTTAAGCTTCTTTAAGATTTATTACTTTTTTTATGTTGGAATTTTTTTTTCCCTTTTACTGATGAGAATCGGATTTTGCTCAATTGTTTTCTTCCTTTTGACAGCTGCTTCCTTTCACCAGAAAGAGATTTTGGATCTTCCCCGTGGCTGATTTTCATAGGTAAGTCTCGGATTTTTTTTCCTTTTTATACACTTGGCTATTTGATAACGTTATTCCTGGGTTCTGCCTAAGTCGGTTTCCTTTGTATCTAATCATCTGTTGATTTATAGTAGTGACCTATAATGCTTACAGTGTTGATATGTACTTTTATGTTGATGATCTGTGCCCTTTTTATTTCAAACTCATTAAATGAGTTGAGATTTTTCCTCCTTTTATGAATTGGAATTTCCCAACAAAATTTTTTTTTTCTTTTTTAATTTTTTTTCTCTCCTATCTGTATTGCTTATTGCTTCGGTTTTTTTTTCACATTTTTTCCCGGTTTGCCCTTGCTCTCTCTTTTGTTTTTCCTCTTTTGTGTGGGTGTGTTTCTGTCTTTTCCTTCCCATGTGTTGTGACTTTACGTTTTTTGCCTTTGCCTCTTTGTTTTTTTTTTTTTTTTTTTTTTTTTTTTTTTTTTTTTTTTTCGTTTGGTTTTTAATGAAGCCCTAAGCCTTTTTTTTTTTTTTTTTTTTTTTTTTTTTTTCCTTCTTGCGCCGTTTCTTCCATTTTTTCTCCGCTAAAAGTTTGCCCTCCATTTTTGGCTTCTTTGTTTCTCTCAGTCCTTACTTAGTTTTGGTCCTTTGATCGTTTTCGGCGCAAGCTTTTTCTGCTTGTTTCTGCTCATTTTCCCCTGTTTTGATTAGGGATTTCTTCTTTCCCCTCTTTTCTTCGGCTATTTTTTGTTTCTTCGTTCCTTTGATTGGTTGCTGATCATCTTCTCCTGTTGTCATTAGAAATAATGCTATGGCTTATTGTGAGTTTCCTTTCTGCTCTCCCCTGTTCTCTTCGGCCATTCTTTGGTTTTTTTTTTTTTGTGCTCTTTTGATATGCGAATTTGCATGGCTTATTGTGGGTTTCCTTTCTTCTCTCCCCTGTTCTCTTCGGTCATTCTTTGGTGCTTTTTTTGTGCTCTTTTGATTTGCGGATTTACATTTGTTTTTTTCTGTGTTCTTACCAGAGTGAATGTTGTGGAATGCATATTTTGTGTTATGTACTTTTTTCCCTCCCTTTTTATCAAACCTCTGTTGTTTCTGTTTTGTTCTTTTGATTCAGAAATTTGTATGGGCTCTTTTTCCCTTCTCACCGGCGTGAATATTCTGGAAATTTCTTCAACTACTTAAATTTATTTTTTTTATTTTGGAAATATTTGTTCTTCACTAATGATTGTCGATTTCTTCTGCACTGCTCTTCTCCTTGCAGCAGTTTATTTGTTTTTCCACAGAGGGATTTAGACACGTATGCATGGATTTCCACAGGGCTGATTTTCGTAGGTAAATGCTCCCTTTCTCTTTCTCGGTGCAAATTGTTCCTGAATCAATTCTTTTTTTTTTTTTTTTTTTTTTTTTTTTTTTTTTTTTTTTTTGTTTTTTTTTTTTTTTTGCATTTAATGGTTATCTGATCTGTAATGCTGATCTGTGATTCCTATGATCTCGCTTTGTACTTTTGCCTTGATGATCTGTAGCCTTTCCGTTGTAGAGACTTTAAATGAGCTAGGCATTTTTTTTCACTTTTACTGTGCAGAATATGCAGTATATTCTCCCTGTTTCTCTCGGTTGATTATGCTTTGATTTTTTCCTTCCTATTTTTGTTACTCGCATTATTTTTTCCCTCTTTTTTTTTTTACCCCTTGCTCAATATTTGTCCACCGACTTAATTGTATTAGACGTGATATTCTCATTGGTCATCTTAGTGTTTATATATGTGCAAAATACTATTGCCGTAGGTTAATTTATTGTCTAACTTCTCTGCCCTTTCTTCACTTAAACCTGACATCGTGCCCTTTCTATCTCAGTGTTGATCATTTACTACCTTTATTTACCTTGCCCTATTTATTGCTCTATTGTCTTAGTTCTGTCTTTTTCCTTCCTCTTTCATTGGCTGGCATTGGTTACTTAAGGCAGTGCTCACAATATCTTAGATACTATTAATGATTTCTATATCTTGATGTTTTTATTATTCTTTGTCAATGCTGAGTGTGCTGGTTTGTTCTATTGTTAATACTATGTGTTATTTCCTATAGTGTTTAAAAAAGTTAATTCCTATTCATTATCAATAAATCTTAATGATCTATAGTTGTCTTCTTAATTTATTTCATAATAGTATATAAGTGGTTTAATTTTACATAATATTTTTCTCAAGTTTAATTGATTTTAGTGTATGTCAATGCTTATTACAATTGTTTTATATGTGCTTATTGCTATGTAACATATTTAGAAATTGTTATGAATGTACTTCTTATTCATGTGGATTTTGTCTTTAGATTATGATTTTGCTAGTAGTTTTTTATTATAATTGTCTAAATATTCTTTTTTTCCCCCTTTTTTTTACTTGGTCTAACCCTTTTCGGTTTTTGGATGTGCTATTTTATCTTTACCTGCTTATTCTTTAGTCTTTTAAATTTTGTCTGTTGTGCGTAGATTTAGGTAGTTGATATTCTCTGTTTAGGGTAGTTTTGAGACCGTTGCAGGTACTGTCCATGATTCTTCCTCATATTACCTTAATATTTGTTGTTATTGGATATATTAGTTTGTTATGTTGCTATTAGTTTTTACTGTTTGTTATGCTGCTGGACAAAACCTGTTTTTGTTGTTATGATTGTGTTTTCATATGTTTTGTCAACATATAGCAATGACATATTATTATAAATATACTAAGGAAACCCAGCTTAGCACTGTTCACACACTCACGGAACACTATTCATTGTACAGTGAATATTTTCTTTCCTGGTTTGCCCTCGCTCTTTCTTTTCTTATGTTTTTTCTGTACGTGGGCGTTTTTGTCTTTTAACATAATGTTTTGTGAATGTGTGTCTGTGCCCTTTCCTCCTGAATGTTTTATTTGTCCTTAGTTTTGGGCTTTTGGTCATTTTGCTTCTCATGAAGCCCTATCCTCCATCTCCTTCGATGGGTTCTCTCTGGTTGCCTCCATTTTTCCCTCCGCCAAAAATTTTGCCCCCATTTTTGGCCATTTTTGCTGCTCATGAAACCCCCTTTTTCATCTCTTTCTTCGGTAGCTTCTCTTCGGCTGCTTCTTCTATTTTTTCCTCTGCGAAAAACTTGCCCTCTATTTTTTGCTTTTTCATTTTTCTCATTCTTTACTTGATGTTGGGTTTTCAGATGTTTTTGATGCAGGTCTTTTTTTTTTGCCTTCGTTCACTTTCTACTATTTCTATTAGAGATTTTGTCCAGCATTTTGTTGTGTGGTTTTTGTGTAGTATTTTTTCCCCTTTTTTTCTTCTTCCTCTTCAATTAACTATCGATTTTTTTTTATTGTTTTTTGTTGATTCTATGTTGTTTAGATTTGGATTTTCTATGTACTTTCTCTGTTTTCTTGTTGGAGTAAATATTTTGGGTTGCATGCAATTTTTTTGTTGTTGTTGATTCTCTTCTGTTGCTTTTCTGTTTTTTAGATTTGGTATTTTTCACTGAACTTTCTTTGTCTCCTTGCCGAACTAAATATTTTGGGTTCCATGCATTTTTTTTTATAAAAAAAACATTTAGTGATATTTTGTTAACTGCTTAAAATTTATTGTCATTTCTTATTTTCGAATTTTTTTCTTTCTATTGATGACTATTGGATTTTGCTCGAGTGGTTTGTTTGTTCCAACAGCTTATTTATTTGCGCAGAAAGTGGTTTATATTTATATGTTTGGATCTTCCCCATGGCTGATTTCTATAGGTAAATAATGCATTTTTTTCCCGTACAGATTTTTTTATTGGCTGATTTTGTTCCTGGCTTTTACCTAAATCAATCTCCTTTGCATTTACTCATTTGCTGATGTGTAGTGATGATTTGTGATACTTAAGATGTTGATCTGTACTTCTAGGATGATGATCTATATCCTTTTGTTCCAGAAGCATTAAATGAATTAGAGATTTTTCCCTCCTTTTATGGTTCGGAGTATATGCATAGAATCTGTTAGAAAAAAGCCTGTGTTTTTTCTTCTTTTTTGAATTTTTTCCCTTTTCTTCTGGATTGACTATTGCTTTGGATTTTCTTTTTCTTTTTCTTTTCTTTTGTGATTCTGATCCTATACTATTTTTATCATTTGTTTTGATGAAAAATGTTCCATCCTTTTTTTTTTTACACCGAATTTAAACATTCTTTTTTCACCGACTTTCAATTATTACATGTGGTATTGTCATTGCTTAGCTTGCTCTTTATATATAGGAAATGTTGTTGCTACGTATTAATTGATTCTGTAAATTGTGTCCTTTTCTTCTTATGCCTCACATCTTTCGTTTTCTCCCCTATTATTGATCATTTTGAGTGGTTTGTTTGTTCCCACAGCTTATTTATTTGCGCAGAAAGTGGTTTATATGTATATGTTTGGATCTTCCCCATGGCTGATTTCTATAGGTAAATAATGCATTTTTTCCCCGTACAGATTTTTTTATTGGCTGATTTTGTTCCTGGCTTTTACCTAAATCAATCTCCTTTGCATTTACTCATTTGCTGATGTGTAGTGATGATTTGTGATACTTAAGATGTTGATCTGTACTTCTAGGATGATGATCTATATCCTTTTGTTCCAGAAGCATTAAATGAATTAGAGATTTTTCCCTCCTTTTATGGTTCGGAGTATATGCATAGAATCTGTTAGAAAAAAGCCTGTGTTTTTTCTTCTTTTTTGAATTTTTTCCCTTTTCTTCTGGATTGACTATTGCTTTGGATTTTCTTTTTCTTTTTCTTTTCTTTTGTGATTCTGATCCTATACTATTTTTATCATTTGTTTTGATGAAAAATGTTCCGTCCTTTTTTTTTTTTACACCGAATTTAAACATTCTTTTTTCACCGACTTTCAATTATTACATGTGGTATTGTCATTGCTTAGCTTGCTCTTTATATATAGGAAATGTTGTTGCTACGTATTAATTGATTCTGTAAATTGTGTCCTTTTCTTCTTATGCCTCACATCTTTCGTTTTCTCCCCTATTATTGATCATTTAGTATTGTGCTTTGTCTTGGCCTATTTACTGCTCCATCCTTTTACTCCTGTCTCTTTGCCATCTACTTGGTTGATTGAGATTCGTTATTTAAGGCAGTGCTCACAATATTTCAGGTACTACTATTAATTTTTGTCCAGATTCTTTTAATGTTCATTATTGATACTATATCTGTTTGTTCCGTTACTATTATTTTCTTTTATTTCTTACACTGTTGACAAAAATACTCTTTTTGACTCTTTTTCACTGTCAATAAACTTCAGTGATCCCTAATTATTTTTTTCTGTGGTGTTTATTTGTTTTATAGTAATATATATAGATAATTTCCTATTTTTTGTTAGTATGTTTTATCTTTAATTAGTTTTAGTCTATGCCAATGATTATTACAACCGGTTTAAACTGTTCACTGCCATGTTATTTATTCAGATGTTGCTATGGATATATTTGTGGTCATTTATATTGTGATTTTTGGACTATGATTTTGCCTGTATTTTTTACCTAGTAATTGTCTAGATGTTTTCTTTTTTTTCCCCTTTCCTTTCTTCTTTACTTTAATATTTTTAGCTTTCTGGTTACCTAGCTTCATCTTGGCTTATTCAGTGCTTAGTGCTCTAAGCTGTGTCTCTTTCAGCTATGTTTGGTTGGCTTACACTCTGTATTTGAGGCACTGTTCTTACCATTGTAGGTACTGTAAATAATTTTTAACCATATCTTCTTAACATTCGTTATTGATATTGGATGTATTAGTTTTTCGTGCTGCTGTTTCTTCCTGTTGATTTTTATAGTGCCGATAAAAATCCCTTTGTTGTTATGACTATCCTTTTTTCCATTTTGTTAGTCGATAATGATGGCACGTTAATTTCTTATTCATTTGTTTTATAACTACACATATATGTAATTACTTCCGTTTAGCATATTTTATCTTTACTTGGGTTTAGTGTGTGGCAATGATGGTTATAATCCGTTTTGGTCTCTTGAATTCTATATAATTTGTCCACCTTATCTGGAATTTGATTTTTTCTTATCTGGATTTCACATTTACTTATCCTTTTTGACTGAATTAATTTAAATCTCCTTTTTTCCCATCTTTGTTATATGGCAATAATGATCATATTCGACTTTGGCATCTTCAATCTCATCTAATTTGTCAAAAAATTGTTGTTAATCAACTCCCCTTATCTGGAATTTGATTTCGTCTATTGTTTTGGCTAAAACAATTTAAATACCTCTCTTTTATTCTTTTGGTCTTCTTTAATTTATAGAACATCGCATTTTAGATACCTTTTTAATTCACCTGGTAGTTTTTGGACAGATTTATATTTTGCTCTGGTCATTTATTTTGTATGACAAAAAAGTCATAATCTGTATGGTAAATATCTGATTAATTTTTGTCCCTTTATGTAGTTGCCATTAATTGGTAGCCATAGAATGGTCATATTTTTTGCCCTTTTATGCAGTTGCCATTAATTGGTAGCCATAAAATGGTCATAGAAATACAAATCAGCTGATTTGCCATATATTATTGATAACAATTGATATCTGAGCCACAATTAGTCCATAAAAACATTACAAAACTCATAATTTATACGCTCCCTCATATTCAATGTTTCTTATTAGTTATTTGTTTGCTTATATCTTGTCATTAGTTTGTTTTCGGTTCTTTTTTCTGAAGTTTAGATAATCAGCTTCTACCATGAAAAATTTTCACTCCACCTGCTTATAAATGAAGAAAGCAGTTGAAAACAAATGAACGCAACCATAAATTTATTACTTTTATCTATTATTTGTTTATAGGTTTAATTCATATACTATTCTTATCTTATTTATTTGTTTTGTAAATGTTCACATCTAATATTGTAAATTATAAATTTATAAATATTACCACTTCCCTATTACCTCCCTGTATATTATAAAATTATTGCCCGCCGCAATGCGCAGGCATATAGCTAGTATATACTAGAGGAGGGGTGAGTTTTCACTGTTCATACACTCACAAAATCTATTCATTGTACAGTAAATGAACAGTGCAGAGACGATTTTACCTTTTTTGTTTTCTTTCCTCCGTTTCTGGGCAGAGTTTTTGGTCTTTTCTCGGCCTATAGTGTGTTGTACGTGCATATGGAGCTCTCTATTCCTTTCTCGATACTTCCGTATGCACGTACAATGCGCGTCTCTGAATTATTCTCTCTCTTTCTCTCTCTCTCTGCTTCGGCGAACGCAGACACAGAGACGAAGGTCTCCGCCTCTATCGTGGCGGCTTCTCCGGACTCCAAAACTCGCTTTCTTCCTCTGAAAGTCCTTCAGTAATTTGGTATCCTATTGCTTTGTGTTGTTTGGCTTTTTTTTTCTTTTCCTGTTTTGATCTTCATCTCATCCATCTCTTCTTCTTGCATTTGCTTGGAGTTTCTGGTGTGGGTTTTGTGCTTATTTCATGTCTATGAAACCTTACTTTTGCTTTCTTTCTCAGTTTGGATCTTCTCTGCGACTTTGGTGGTTTTTTTTCCTTTTCCTGTTTTGTTGTTGATTTCATCTATTTTTTTCCTTAGTTTTGATTGGGGTTTAATTTTGGTGTGGGTTTTATGGTCATTAAATAGCCGTGGAACACTATGTTTGCTTTCTTTCTCGGCTTTTGCCTTTTGAGTTGCTTTATTTTTTCCCCCTTTTATTTTTTTTTGCAGGTGCTTTGATTTATCTCTTTTGGTTGGAATCCTGTGTCAGTCCTTTGGGGTTTATGCTTCATTTTTCTTCTGCGTTTGATCTTCGTGTCTCAAATTTTTTTTCTTTGTTGTACATTGTTTGTTCTGCCTTTTGCGTATTTTTCATGGGTTACATCATTTGCCCTTAGTTTTTTCTGCCTTTTTTTTTAAAAGTTTTTGCTCTTACTTTATCAACTATTATTTTTTGAGTAATACAAATGTTATTTTATTTGCACGAGTGAATTTTTCCTTGGTTCATTTGATGTTGTATATCGGTAATTCTTGGTTTTATCTGTTTCATTTATTGCCTTGATGAGTTGGGTTATTTGTATTGGTCATCTGATCTCCTAGATTGATGATTTGTTCTGCTTTTGTTATAGATATATTAAATGAGCTGTTGATTTTTCTCTCCTTCTATTATCTGGAATTTTCGACAGTTTGATATGATCTGTCCAAATATTGCTGTAAATATATCATCTTAATTCTATTCTATTTTTGTCCATTGTTTTTTATTCAAAACTTTTAAGTTCTTTTTTTCTTTTGTTTTTCCTTACTTTCATGTCCTTACACTCTTATCATAAATATTTAATACAGAAGTTATTTACATATATATTAGTTTTTTTTCAATATTAAGTTCTGGTTTTTTCAACTACTTCTGTTTGGCCATGGTATTTTGTAATGGTTTTAAATTATTTTCAATCCCAGATGTTTACACTTACACTGTGTAAATAGAACTTCATTTACTTATATAAAATGTTGTTTTTTGTTCTTTTTTTTTTTATCTATCTTGCATTTTAAGTCTTAGTTATTTAACTATAGTTATTTACTTATCCTAAAGGCTCATGTTATTTTATCAGTTTTTCTTTTTTTTCCCTCTCCTTCTTTCTTCCCTTTTTCCTGTTCCTCAGCAAGCAATTTTGGATTTTTTTAAACTTTAAAGTCTACTTATAATATTCTAAGCTTGATTTACCATTCTTTTCTCTTGGGGCAAGTAGACTTCTAGGCCTTACTTCTTTCCCAGTTTCCTTACGTTTTCTGTTTCGTCCACCTTTTTCTTCAGCTTTTTTCCCTCCTTTTTCTTTGATTTGGTCTATTTTTCCTTCTTTCTTTTTATTCACCTGGTAGTTGCTGGACGGATCTATATCTTATTTTGGTCTTTTTTTTCTTTTTGGGTGGGATACAAGTTATAACCCGTGTGATGAATACAAACATCTTATTAATTTTCATGCCTTTATGCAGTTGCCCTAGTAAGCAGCCATAAAATGACTATGAATATATAAGTTTGTTTATTCATCTCACGTTGATGAAAATATCCAATATTTGAGCCATGATTTTTGCATAAAAATATTATGATATTCATGTTTTATCAACTTCTTTTGACTTTCCCACCCTTCTCTCCCCCCTCCCCCTCTCATTTTTTATTCTTGAAATATTACTAAGAACTTTTCCCCATATATTTTTAATTACTATTGCTAACATTGAATGCATCAGCTTGCTACAACAATGTCAGGATTGGTTGTTTGTGTTGTCTCATCTTTTTCCCTATATGCGTATGTTATTACTGATATATATTGCTGGCGTGGAAAGTTGACAAGAATTTATTCTTATTCTTACGAAATATTAGTCATTTGTTTCTATTTCATGTTTTGCTTCATAAATAAGTACTGTTCGCAGTTTGATTTTTTTTTTATCCCTTCTTCTATTTCATCTTTTGTTACGTTTTTTGTTCTTATTTTACCACTGTATGTTTTTATCGCTGTATCTTGCATCAATATTTGTACTTGGTTAGTCTATATATGGCATTTGGAGTATTTGCAGTGTGAGATATTATTAAGAATTTTCTTCCGTGCATTTATAATAATTGTTGCTGATACTCAACGTACTGATTTGTTCTATTAGTGTTCGTATTTGTTGTTTATGTTCTTTTATATGTTGACATAAAATTTTGTTATATTATTGATGAACATTGCTAATTTAAAAACTTCTGAAACATTCTTTCCTATTCTTAACAAATAATAGCGACCTATATCTATTTTTCCCTTTGCTTCATAAATAAATGGCCATGATCTATCAATGTTTTTTTTTTTTTTTTAAACTTCTTCAACCACACATGCATACGAATATTGGCAATGATCATCATTATTGATTTATATATGTTAAACATTATATGATTTATCTAAAAACTGTTATGGCCGTGTGATTCCTATGTCAATATTTTCCTTGCTTATTTTTTCAATTTTTTTCTCCTTTTCTTAAAGTTCTGGCCTACTTTGTTCTTCTCTTTATTTATTTGAATATTTTTATCTTTCGTACGCCATCTGTTTGCTTAAAAAACTAGAATTATTAATATCGTGCTATTACAAATGCTAAGGGAACTATACACATACATATCTCTGTTCGGTACATTCTATTTTGAAACGTTGTTTTCATATAGCAATAATGGTCGTACTCAATATTGTAAAATACCAATTTCTTAGCTATTGCTTGGTATTCTTATAAAATCACTGTCTCTGAAATCCATTATGATTCTCATCACTATATAAAAAAACAAACTAAAAATGTTGCAACATTCATGTTTTCTCACTTTTTAGTTTTCATTCTGTTGTGTTTTCCTTTTTAATTTTTTATTTACTTATTAATCATTCACTTATTTATTTGTATTTTTCAGGGTCTCCTACTATTTAACACTGTATGTTCTTATCGTTGTATCCTTCATCAATATCTACACGTAAATAGCCCATATTTAGCATTTGGAGTGGTATTTATAGCGCTCGAGGTATTCTTAAGAACTTTCTTCCATGTATTTTCAATAACTGTTGCTGATGGTGGATGTAGTAATTTGTTATAGTAGTATTCATATTTATTATTTATACTTAATTATCTGTGTTGGTATAAAGCTTTGTTATATCATTAATTCACATTGCTAATTTAAAAACTTGAGAAATATTCTTTCCTGCTCTTAACAAATATTACCAAGCTATATCTATTTTGTCCTTTGCTTCATAAAGCGTACGAGGGACAAGCCGCTTTTCCCAGGTAAGCTTGCGGAAATTGGGGACTTCCAGACTCGCTATCTTGGCCTCTCCCTACGTAATAGTTTCCCTTTCTATCACTGTTAGTCGGCACTCCGGTCTCACTTTTCTTCCATGTCTTCCTTTAGCATGATTTGATACTCTCTTTTTGAATAAATCCCTTTCCAACAAAAGCCTCAGCTGCATAGAAAAGAAGAAGAGGTGAGTGGAAGCAGGGTTAAGACACAATAGAGGAGTAAATCTTTGCTTCTGTCATACACCAAGGAGACAATCCGGATCCAACCCATAATTATGGATCTGAATTGTTAATCAGGAGTAAAATTTAGACTCGCGCACTCTAAAAGTAAGGGTTCGTTCACTTCGTTGATTCGAATTTGTAATTTGAGTTGAGATGTGATTTTATGTGAGAATTTTTTACTGTAATAAAAAAGTTAGATGTGACTGTTTCTAAGAATTTTTTACTGTAATAAAACTCAAATTTTAAACTCGAATCGGTGAAGTGAACTGGACTTAAGTTTAACAATTTTTTTTAGTAAAAGAAAAAAAAGACCGTCGATTTCATAAATCTTCTTCTCCAGCAATGATTTGAACGTGCCTTCAAACATGAAGGTTAAATACATGGGCATGAAGCAGAACGTTGGCCAAGAGTTGTCCAACTACAAATGGGTAAATCATATAATCCAGATCGTAACTACCTATCCACGAGAAAAGTTGTCTAAAAATGATGGTAAATGTTCAAACTTTTATCCCATGTTAACGATTCATAACTATCAAATTATCAATCACGTTTGTGACTGAACAAGGTGTTAGACTGATTGAATCACCTAATAGACAGTGTTATGCTGCTCGCTTTACCGTCACTTGCAACTGCAACAGTGCATCTTCAACACGCATTCCCTGAACTAATGCAGCGACCAATTTCACCTTCTTTGAACTCTGAGTAGTTACGTCAAACAAAAAGGATAAAATTATTTTTGTACTTTTATTATAGCGAAATATGCTCTTAGTATTATATATTTTTTATAATAATAAAACGGTACATTACCGTTCTTAAAAACATCTTCTTAACTTTTGAGACATAGGGTGCGTTTATTAAAACGTAAAGGAATGTAATGGGATTAAAAAGGAAAGTAAAGTAATAAGATTAAGGATCATTCATTTTCTTTATGTGTTTACTTGACTATTAGATGATGGAATGAGAAATAACATCATTCACTTTCTTATGTTTACTAAAATTGGGAATAATAATTTTATGAATGTAATCCTTAAAATATCCTTTATACAATTAAATAATCATTGATTATATAGTAATTCATTAAGGGTAGTAAGTAAATTTAATATTTATTCTCTTTGATAAGGAATCAATATTAGGAGTGTAAGGATTGGTATTCCCTTTCCTCATTCTCTATATTGTGTGGGGATTAAATCTCCATTACTAATTTTGTAAGTAAACACATTATTAGATGAGAAAGGGAATCATTCCTCATTTTTCAAAAGGAAATCATTCGTCATTTTTCCTTTCTCTTTGATGCAAATTAAACATGTCCATAATATACAAACTACCCTTCTTATTAATTAAATAGAAATCAATATTCTTTAAAAAAATCTAAAAATATTTTAAAACATTAAAATATTTTAAAAAATAACAAAATAAAAAAGTTCATGACTTTTTTTAGATTATTAGTTTTTGGCTAATTAAATAGAATGATACTAAAGTCATTTTACGTCTCAAAAATTAGTTTTAGTGTACCAAGAAAATGTTTTTAAAACATCAAGATACCGATATAATATTAACAAAAACACGAAGTATAAAAAACATGTTTCGCAATAACACGAATTACCAAAATGATTTTTTCCCTTAACAAAATCACATGATAAGAAAATGAACATTACAGAATGCACTTGAAGAGCAGGTAGATAGGCGGCACATGTACCTAGTCATTCTTATTAGAGTGAATTTTTGCACCCCGTTTGTTTTACTAATTTATAAGAATGTAAAGTAAAGTTGCATTTTATTTTAATCCATGAGAACTCAAAATTCCTTAAAAGAAAATATAAAATTTTAGAATTTTAAAAAGTTATTAATGAGACACAGTTTTAAACCCTTAAATTCAGTCTTATTATATAAACTTGATAAAAGCTTACAGACTAGTCGATAGTGATTCTGCTAAACAAAAATTAGATTTTATCTGGTTCATTTTTAATGTTAAAATTATAGTTTGCTGGTATCAAGTAAAAATTATACATTCGAAGTTTATATTAAATTCAGGGGAGAATTTTGTAACTTTTCTGAAGTTTCTTCACTTCCCTATTTGGTTGCTGCAGTTTACTCGAGAAAGGCCTAAGTTCACATTCGACGTGTCAAAACTCAAAACGAAACTCGAAAATAAATTCGAGTTACCTACCTTATTTTGAGTTCATCTTCCCACTGCAACTTGAGTTCTAGAGTGAAGATTTCTGGCTATTGACTATTGCGTGCTTCATCCATCTCTAACGCTCTAACATGCCATAACTGCTACTTCACGTGCTTCTACAGTAAGATTCCTGTAAGTTCTGCTGCCTTTTGACCATAAATCACTCCTTCAAGCTTCAATTTCACTCCTTAAAAGCTTCAATTCCGCCCCATACCCATAACTCAAATGCTCCCTTTGAGTTCTGCTACCTTTTCCTCAATTTGAGATAGAAACCCTAGCCCCAAAATTCACCCCTCATCTTCTGCCGCTGGTCTCCATTCAAGACGGAGAAATTCGGGGGTAGAAATCGATCTCTTCGGCAACCTCCTTGGGCAACAATCCTAGCTTGATGTAGAAGGAAAGAGTCTCGACGTAGTGCTTTCCTGTGCCGACGTAGTGCTTTCCTGTGGCGACGTGAAATCTACTTCCCCCTCCATTGTCGTCGCCGGTACCTCACTCAGGGACAGCAGTCTTCGCGTTTTGGGAATCTCAGAGCAGATCAAACCCACTCCTCTGTAGGCTCCAACTCGGTAAGCACTCGAATCCTAGGTTTAATTCCTTCCAAGTTGCATGCTCATCTCCTCCACCAGCAACACTTTCCCCATGGTAACCACACAAAAAAAAAAACTCTTTCTTTTTTCTTTTTTAACTTTCTCTCTGGTTTGTTTGGTTGCCGAGAAAAGTGGGGAAAGAGAAATCGATGAGAGAGAAAATGGATATTTTTGTTTCTTTTAAGGTTTTCCGAAGATGGATTGCTGCTCTTTCTCAATTTTCTTCTTG